TGAAGACCCTGCCTAATGGGCAGAGCAGTGTCAAATGTCAAGAACCTACCATTTCACAGCTGAAACAGTTGAAGTTAGAGTTCTGGTATATACCCTTTTGTACTGTGGTAATGAGGGCCTACGCTCTTGAGATGGGCCCACACAAGTCTGTGCAGGGGGAAAGGCACTCAGAGTCCATGGATCCCTTATACCTGTGCCTAGGCAAAGGAGCTGTGCCTACCCTAGGTTCCTTGCTTAGGGGAGCTGGCAGTTTATTTTTTCCCCGTTGTTAATTTGTTCACTCTCCAAGGCAGGGAGAATGGCTCCGGGCATGTGATGGATCCTACGTCTGGCCCAGGGGATTCAGCAATTCCTGAAGCAGGTCCAGGACCCAGTGCAGAACAGGGAGCAGGGAGGTAAATGGGAGAGAGGTTTTTCCCTAAGGGGGTGTTTTTGATCCGAGTGTAGGCCTTATGCAATTACTTATCTTTCACCAGATAGAAGGCTGCTTCTCACTGGTTCTGGGTGGCCATGTAGACTCTCTGGCACTAGGTCTCTGCCAGCGCGGAAGATGCACCTCCCGAGCTCAGCTGCTTGCCTGCCTCATTGCTCACCCAGGAGCTACTTAGGCCTGAAGGGCTCAGGCTCTCGCTGAGTCAGGTCTGGCAGCTCCTTGCTGCTTCCAAACCGCCTCTTCCCCCCCCGCCACTCTGTCCAGCTCCTCAACTCTGCCTTTGATGTTCAGGGCTCCCAGATTGCCATATATAATCAAATCACTTGTTTTTTCAGGTCTTTGTTGTAAGACAGTCCACCAGAAGTGTCTGACTACTCCGCCATCTTGGCCCCACCTCCAGCAGTATGACTTTCTGGGTCCACCGCCCACCTCTATAACGAGGCTTTCTTTGACTTCTCTTCTTCTTTCTGTCCATTAAACACTGATGTTTCCTGGCATTTCATACTTCTCCATCTTTTCTCAATCTCAGCTTTCTTGCTTTAGTCTCAGCCACTTTTCTGGGTTTACTGATTTGCTTATAGGCAGTCCCTGGGTTAAGAACATCCAACTTATTTACAGCCCTTAGTTACGAACCAACCACCGTAAAGCCTATTATGTTAAAAATTTGAGGTAGGTGTGATGGTTCTTAATAAAAAACAGGTGCTACTGTGTGACACACATCAAAACATTATTATTCTTATTACTGTATTATTATGTTAAAGATGTTTTAGTGTATCTGGAAGTGTTTCTTTAATGTTTTTTATGCATAGAAAGGCATATTATATACTATATACTAAGACAAACATTTGACTAACTGACGTTACAAACGAACAGTACCTAACTGTTTCGACTTGCATACAAATTTGACGTAAAAACAGATTTAGAAATGTAAATCATTCATAATCCAAAAACTGCCTGTATTTGTTGTTTTTATGTGCTGTCCAATCAATTTTTGACTCAGTGACCCATGTGAGAGCAGAATTGCCCCATAGGGTTTTCTAGGCTGTAATCTTTATGGAAGCAGATCACCAGTTCTTTTCTCCCATGGAGCCACTGGGTGGGTTTGAACTGCCAACTGTTCGGTTAGCAGCTGAGTGCTCTACCATTGCTTTACCAGGCCTTCTTTATTTGCTTATAGATTCCTCCATCTGTATTTCCAGATCCAAACCTTTCTATGCAGCCCTTGATCTGCACTTCCAAATGTCTACTAGACATATCTACTTAGATGCCCTATAAGCAGTGTATCAGGCAGGATAGGCTAGATTATGCAGTGGTAACAAAAAACCCAAAACCTTAGTGACTTCTTTATTTCTTGCTCACATTACACATTCATTGTGGGTCTGCTGCAGCTGTGACCCTGCTGTCCTGTCTTTGGAACCTCAGCTGTCAGAGAAACATCTATCTGGAACCTCGCCAGTTGTTTGGCAGAAGGGGAGAAAGATACACGACATGCTGGCTCCTAAAGCTTCTGCCCAGAAGTAACACAGTTCAGGCCACATTTTATCAGCCAAAGCAAGTCACATGGCCACCCTCGAGTTAAGTGGGTGGGGATGTATAATCCTCTCCCCAGGGAGGAGCACTGAGGGAGTGAGCTAGAATATTTGGCAACAGTCATACAATCTACCACATGCATTTCAAGCAAAACACGTCTAAACCTTCTACTTATTGTTTTATCCTCATCCAAATCGTATTTTTCCGCCTCTTTTCCTTATGTTCTCTAGGTGTGTGTTAAGTCAGTCAAGCTAAAAACTTTAGGGAAAAAAAAAAAAAACCCATTGTCATCAAGTCAATTCTGACTCATAGTGACCCTATAGGACAGAGTAGAACTGCCCCATAGAGTTTCCAAGGAGCACCTGGTGGATTTGAACTGCTGACCTTTTGGTGAGCAGCCATAGCATTTAATCCCTGTGCCACCAGGGTAGTTGTCTTTAAATTCTTCTCCTTCTTCCTGTACTCCCATACCCAGCTGGTCAAATAGTCCTCTGTGCTCTGCCCTGAAATCTCTCTCCTACCAGTCCTTCCTCCTGTGTGTTCCCACTGGCCTGAACACAACTCTTCTGGATTACAGAAGACTCCAAGCTGTCTCCCTAGCTCTATTCCTCCCTTGCAAGTGCATCTTCCGCCCTGCTGTCAGGGCTGGGTTTTTAAAATACAGATCTTATTGTGCCACTCCCCTGCTCAGAAATCTTCAAGGATTCTCCGCTGCCTACCAAACACTTTCCTGTGGCGTTCCGTGTTTTCCCAAGGTAGTCAAAACCTAATATTTTAGTTTAATCTTTCAGCGTGCCCTCATGCACTTCCATTTCCCATATACACTGTGCCTTTTTATCCCACCTGACCGCCTTTTTCATTGTTTTTGTTAAAATATAATTTAGATATAGTGAAATTTGCCCTTTTTAGTGTACAGTTCCGTGAGTTTTAACAAAGGCACGTACTCGTGTAACGACCATCACAATCAAGATATAGAACAATTCTATCGCACCAGGTTCTCCTGTGCCCTTTTGTAGTCAACCGTTTCTCCTACACCAGCCCCTTGCAACCACTGATCTGCTTTCTGTCCCTATAGTTTTGCCGTTTCCAGAAAGTCATATAAATGGAATCATACAGCCTTTTGAGTCTGGCTTCTTTTACTTAGCATAATGTATTTAAGATTCATCGAGGTTACTGTGTGCATCAGTAGTTTGTTCCTTTTTATTGCTGAGTTGTATTTCATGGTATAGATGTACCACAGTTTGTTTGTCCGTGCCTGAGGTTAGGGATATTTGGGAGGTGTTTCTAGTTTTCATCCCATCCTCCTTTTCAGCTTCCACTTAATCCTATAAAGCATGACTCAAATATTCCTCCCTCAGTCCCCAGCTCTTCCCAGTGTCTTCTATAATGTCCTTTTCACATTGCGTTGCAGTTCGTTGTATGTGGTTTTCATTAAGGGCAGGAGGACAAGTTCATTTGCTCTGCCTGTTCCTCTCCGTCTTATCCCCAACATCTGCTGCAGAGCCTGGCACATGAGTGCTCAAGCAATAATTCATGAATTCGATACACCTGGCTCCCCTTTTCCCTGGGGCAGCACCTCTTTCGGCTCTCATGTGATTTTTAAAAAAAAGAGATTCCATGATCAAATACATTTGGGAAATGCTGTATACTCCTATCTCCCTCGTTGAGATTATGCATTACTACTAAGTAAAGGTTCTGAGAAATCATACAGTTGAAAAGTCTTTTTAACTTTGGTTTAACTCAAACCAAAAAACCAAACCTGTTGCTGTCAAGTTGATTCCGACTCATAGCGACCTTATAGGACAGTAAAACTTCCTCATAGGGTTTCCAAGGCTGTAAATCTTTATGGAAGCAGACTGCCACATCTTCCTCCTGTGGAGCAGCTGGTGGGTTCATATCTTCTGTTTAGCAACCTGAGCACTTAACCATTGCAGCACCAGGGCTCCTTACAGTTTGACCCAAGGTTTCTCAAATTTGTTTGACCATAAAACACCTAAATACATTCTGCAGGGCTAATATTCCTAAAGAACACACTTTGGGAAACTGACATACAATACTAGAACCATTATAAGTCAATTACATTTTCTCTTGTCTAACTAGGTGCCCAATATCACATATGAATTTGATGGAAGGAGATTTTTTCCCCCTGTACTCATAGATGTATACATTGGTGTATGATTGTCAGCTGAAGGCAACAATAGTTGGAAGGGAGCCAAATAAATTTCCATCATATTTGTGCTTATATGCTAAATAGACTTCTTCGTATTGAACCCTGCTGTACAACAGAAGAGAGTGAAAATTGACCAAATCACAAGATTTAATTCCTTTCCTCATAAATGCGCTTTTGCAGTTCTTTTCTCTGCCTCCCTAGAAGTTTGATTTTAGAGTTCTGGCTGTAGAAGAACCTTAGCATTTTAAAGGTGTAAGAGATCATCACCTAATTTTATAGATGATTAGATTAAGGACCAACGATATTATGCCTTGTTCAAGGGATGTAGTTGCAAGGCTGGGCCTAGATCTGAAACTCTGCCTTCTTGAGTCCCATTTCAGTGCCTCCTTCCTAATAATGCATGTGCCGGTGGCTTAAATTCTTTTATTGATCCCAAAAAAGTATTTGTTTTGTTGAATCTGGTGAACCAGTTCAAAGATTCCTTCACATGAATTTTTACTGAAAGTTGTGGATATTTTTTACTCCATATAAGGAATAAATCTGATTTTGTAGGGGGGAGAGTCCATATTAAATGTCAATTTTTTTTTGCCTCTGTGAACATATCAATGTGTCATCTGTAAATAGATAGAGGTAAAATAATACTTTGTCTGGATTCTCCTAGAGAGACTCTGGAGTATATTTGTTTGAGAAAATACCTAAGGATGAAATGGTTAGGTTAAGGGAATTCAGTATCTTGAATTATACTGGTTTTCAATACTTAAAAGCAGTTTACCAGCTTGTTGCCAAGTTAACACATAAAAGAAAAAAAATGGCCTGAGCGCAGTTTGGCACTTGGGTGACTAATTACTTTTTTTTTTTTTTTGGTAGGTGGGGAAAAGTGGCAATGTACCAGCAGGCACTACAGTGGATAGTACCATCACACATCCATCTGAGTTTGACTTTTACCTCTGTAGTCATGCAGGAATTCAGGTAATTTGGAAGCTGGTCCAGATCTTTGACTTGATAGGGCTATGTTTGTAAATTCAGCAACTAGCTTGAGTAGACTTGTTATTAAACACTGTACATAACTCTGTTAATGCTTGTAGCCTAAAACTGTTAACTTTTGGTCTAAGTATCAGCTTGTAGGTGTGCTAGGTAGAAATACTTCTGAGTTTAACTAGTAGGTTTCAATTCTTCTCTTCTCTTGGATAGTCAACCTGTATCAGAAATATATTAATCATAAAACTCTCTCTCTAGGGAACCAGCCGTCCTTCACATTACCAGGTCTTGTGGGATGACAACTGCTTTACCGCAGATGAACTCCAGCTACTGACCTACCAGCTGTGTCACACCTATGTGCGGTGCACACGCTCAGTCTCTATTCCAGCCCCTGCCTACTATGCCCGGCTTGTAGCATTTAGAGCAAGGTATCATCTGGTGGATAAAGATCATGACAGGCAAGTTTCTCAGACAGAATAAAATCTCTTTGTATTTTAGCAGCCTGTTAAAAAATAAGTTACCGTAGAAAAACTTTTCGGAAGATTTAAACTTCCTTTTAGGGTTTAAATTGCAAGCAGTGAATAAAATTGCATGTGTCTTTGAGAGCTTATAATGTGACTTTTGGTCCAAGAAGTGCTGAACTTGTTTATTCTTGTATCATTTGTCTAAAACCTGCCCAAGGAAAGTTTGGAACTGCCTGTGGTTTTGCCATAGAACCAAATGTATTTCAGTTCTGCTCCAGCCTCAAAAGGTGGTCAGCCCAGCACTTTGGCTTGAGTTAGAGACAGGCCTGTAGACTCCACCTCATGCAAGGGGGACGTCCTTACCAGTTCGCTTTGCTTTCAGTATAATCTGGAAGAATAAACGAGAGTGAACTTGAGTGTCTATGGAGGGGAGAAGTGCCAGACCATTCTTACCCCCAGACAGGGATCTTAAGGCATTTTGACCTGTTACTGAGCTACTATTAAATACCTAAACAAGCTCTCTGCATTAATTTTCTTTTCCAAATGACCATCTGTGAAGTGTAGCAGTTTCTTGGCTTTTCCCCAAGTCTGAATTCAGCTGCTAAATAGTAGACATTCCACTGCAAGTCTATTTCTGTAAGGGCTGAAGATATGCTATTGTGGAAAATGTCCAGCTGTGGCTTTGCACCTTCCATTCTGTAATATACATTCATTCATTCAACACATTTATAAGGTATTGACTGTGTGCCCAGTACTGTGCTAAAAAACCCCTCAAAACCAAACCCACTGCCATTGAGTAGATTCTGACTCATGGCAACCCTATAGGATGGAGTAGAACTGCCCTATAGGGTTTCCAAGGCTGTAAATCTTTACGGAAGCAGACTGCCACATCTTTCTCCCACTGAGCAGCTGGTTCGAACTGCAGACCTTTTGATTAGTAGCCAAATGCTTTAATCACTGCACCACCAAGGCTCCTCGGTACTGTGCTAGGTACTAAAAATGCTAAGATGAGTAAGACATGTTTCCTGCCCATGGGGATTTTATGTTTCAGTATAGGAGACAATACAGGCAGATATAAAAACTGACAATTAGCCCAAAGCAGTATAGATAAAAATGCAATGGCATGTCAAAGGAAAGGCAGAGAAGATTTCATAACTGGATGGGCAAGGTTTGGGTCTACCAAGAAGGGAAAAAGATTTTCCAGGCAGAGAGAACAATGGACCCAAAGGAGGGAAAAGAAGTGACATGTTTGGATAATAGCAAGTTTTCTTTGGCTGGAGAATATTAAAGAGGAGTAGCAAGGATGAGGCTTGTAAAGTATCTGAGAGCAAGCTCATATTTGTTAAATGAAAAATGATATTCCTGGGATAGAATAGACAGGACTTGACTGTTAATTGGGAATGAATGGTTGAGGAGGGGATGAAGTAAAAGATGACTGATATTTTAAGCCTAGATGATAAGGGTAATAACAATAACTAGAGAAGTCAGAAGGGAGATGATAATTTACAGTGAACGAAGTCTTGTATATTACATGGTACCCTTAACAGGAATGTTCAGAAGTTGTTACTGTTGCCCCAAGAAACCAAAGTTCAGAGGAGTTATTACTTGTCCAAGGTCATACAGCTAGTAAGGGGAAAGCAAGAAGAGATTGGTGGCACACTAACATTGACTGAGTAGGTGCATTAATTCATTCATTCAACAAACGTTTATTGAGAATATGCAATGTGCTAGGCACTAGGGATACAGTGGTGAATAAAATAGGTAAAGTTGCTGGTTTCTTGGCATTTACATTCCAATAGAGAAAGAAATAATTATCAAATTAATAATTTAATTTCAATCGTGTTTAGTACCATGAAAGAAAAGTACATGATGCCATGAAAGCTGTCCCAGGTGCCTCTGACCTGGACTTTGGAGTCGGGGAAGATTTCTTTGGGGAAAATGACATTTGAAAGAAGACTGAAGGCTAAGTAGTAAAACAGGCAGTGGAGATTCTTATGTAGGCATTGTTAAGGATCTGGACATTATTAATTCTTGCAGCAATTTGTATTGACTGTTATTACTTTATTAATCCTTCCAACAACCCATTAAATAAGTTCTGTTGCGTTTTTCAGTTGATCAAAAGAGGTACATTGTTTTTGTTGTTAGGTGCCATAGAGTCGGTTCCGACTTGTAGCAACCCTATGTACAACTGAACAAAACACTGCCCACTCCTGCGCCATCCTCATAATCGTTGCTATGCCTCAGTCCATTGTTGTAGCCACTGTGCCATTCCATCTTGTTGAGAGTCTTCCTCTTTTTCGATGACTCTCTATTTTACCAAGCATGATGTCTCTCTCCAGGAACTGGTCCCTCCTGATAACATGTCCAAAGTATGTGAGACCTAGTCTCACCATCTTTGCTTCTAAGGAGCGTTCTGGTTGTACTTCTTCCAGGGCAGATTTGTTTGTTCTTTTGGCAGTCCGTGGTATATTCAGTATTCTTCACCAATATCACAATTTAAAGGTGTCAATTCTTCAGTCTTCCTTATTCATTGTCCAGCTTTCTCACGCATATGAGGCAATTGAAAACATCATGGCTTGGGTCAGGGGCACTTTAGTCTTCAAGGTGACATCTTTGCTTTTTAACACTTTAAAGAAGTCTTTTGCAGCAGATTTGCCCAATGCAATGCATCGTTTGATTTCTTGACTGCTGCTTCCATGGGTGTTGATTATGGATCCAAGTGAAATGAAATCCTTGACAACTTCAATCTTTTCTCCATTTGTCATGATGTTGCTTTGGTCTAGTTGTGAGGATTTTTGTTTTCTTTATGTTGAGGTGTAATCCATGCTGAAGGCTGAGATCTTTGATCTTCATCAGTAAGTGCTTCAAGTCCTCTTGACTTTCAGCAAGCAAGGTTGTCATCTGCATAACGCAGATTGGTAATGAGTCTTCCTCCAATCCTGATGCCCCATTCTTCTTCATATAGTCCAGCTTCTTGGATTTTTTGCTCAGCATGCAGATTGAATAAGTATGGTGAAAGTATACAACCCTGGCACACACCTTTCTTGACTTTAAGCCACGTAGTATCTCCTTGTTCTGTTCGAACAACTGCCTGTTGATCTATGTACAGATTCCTCATGAGCACAATTCAGTGTTCTGGAATTCCCATTCTTCGCAATGTTATCCATAATTTGTTATAATCCACACAGTCGAATGCCTTTGCATAGTGAATAAAACACAGGGAAGCATCTTTCTGGCATTCTCTGCTTTCAGCCAGGATCCATCTGACATTAGCAATGATATCCCTCATTCCACGTCCTCTTCTGAATCTGGCTTGAATTTCTATAAGTTCCCTGTCAATGTAGTGCTGCAACCACTTTTGAAAGATCTTTAGCAAAATTTTACTTGCAGTGATGTTAATGTTATTGTTCAATAATTTCTGCATTTGATTGGATCACCTTTCTTGGGAAAAGGCATAAATATGGATCTCTTCCAGTCAGTTGGCCAGGTAGCTGTCTTCCAAATTTCTTGGCATAGACTTAGTGAGCACTTCCAGCCCTGCATCCATTTGCTGAAACATCTCAATTGGTATTCTGTCAATTCCTGGAGCCTTGTTTTTCACCAGTGCCTTCAGTGCACCTTCTTCCTTCAGCACCATCGGTTCCTAATTATATGCTACCTCCTGAAATGGTTGAACGTCAACCAATTCTTTTTGGTATAGTGACCCTGTGTATTCCTTCCATCTTCTTTTGATGCTTCCTGTGTCATTTAATATCTTCCCCGTAGAATCCTTCAGTATTGCAACTTGAGGCTTGAAATTTTTTCCTCAGTTCTTTCAGCTTGAGAAATGCCAAGCATGTTCTTCTCTTTCGGTTTTTTTATCTCCAGGTCTTTGCACATTTCATTATAATACTTTGTCTTCTCAAGCCACCCTTTGAAATCTTCTGTTCATCTATTTTATTTCATCATTTCTTCCTTTTGCCTTAGGTACTCTAAGTTCAAGACCAAGTTTCAGAGTCCCTTCTGACATCCATTTTGGTCTTTTCTTTCTTTCCTGTCTTTTTAATGACCTCTTGCTTTCTTCATGTATGATGTCCTTGATGTCATTACACAACTCATCTCGTCTTCCGTCATTAGTGTTCAGCACGTTAAATCTATTGAGATGGTCTCTAAATTCAGGTGAGATATACTCAAGGTCGTACTTTGGCTCTTGTGAACTTGCTCTAATTTTCTTCAGTTTCAACTTGAACTTGCATATGAGCAATTGATGATCTGTTCCGCAGTCGGCCCCTGGCCTTGTTCTGACTGATGATATTGAGCTTTTCCATCGTCTTTTTCCACAGATGTAGTCGATTTGATTCCTGTGTATTCCATCTGGTGAGGTCCACGTGTATAGTCGCCATTTATGTTGCTGAAAAAAGGTATTTGCAAAGAAGAAGTCATTGGTCTTGCAAAATTCTGTCATGCGATCTCTGGCATCATTTCTATCACCAAGGCCATATTTTCCAACTACTGATCCTCCTTCTTTGTTTCGAACTTTCGCATTCTAATCACCAGTAATTATCAATCCATCCTGGTTGCATGTTCCATCAATTTCAGCTTGTCAAAGTTGGTAAAAATCTTCAATTTCTTCATCTTTGGCTTTAGTGGTTGGTGCATAAATTTGAATAATAGTCCTATTAACTGGTCTTCCTTGTAGGCATATGAATATTATCCTACCGCTGGCAGCGTTGTACTTCAGGATAGATCTTGAAATGTTCTTTTTGCTGATGAATGCAATGCTGTTCTTTTTCACCTTGTCATTCCCGGCATGGTAGACCGTATGATTGTCCGATTCAGAATGGCCATTACCAGTCCATTTCAGCTCACTAATGCCTAGGATATTGTTTATGCGTTCCATTTCATTTGTGACAATTTCCAATTTTCCTAGATTCATATTTTGTACATTCCATGTTCTGATTATTAATGGATGTTTGCAGCTGTTTCTTCTCATTTTGAGCCATGCCACATCAGCAAATGAAGGTCCCAAAGGCTTGACTCCATCCATATCATTAATAAGGTCGACTCTACTATGAGGAAGCAGCTCTTCCCCAGTTGTATTTTGAGTGCCTTCCAATCTAAGGGGCTTATCTTCCGGCACTATATGAAACAGAGTTCTGCTGCTATTCATAAGGTTTTCACTGGCTAAGAGGTATAGCGAGACATAATTAGTTAGTTAAGGAGCCAAGGCCTGGGTCCAAGATCTTCTTGAATCCAGTACTATTTGTGCTATTTGGAGCATGTGAAGTTTAACATGGTCTTCAGTTACGCCTGACTTTTTGGTTTTTTCTCTTTGCAGTGCGGAAGGCAGCCACGTGTCAGGACAGAGCAATGGCCGTGATCCTCAGGCCTTGGCTAAGGCCGTGCAGATCCACCATGATACCCAGCACACGATGTATTTTGCCTGAGAGTCTCAGAAAAAGAACTTAACCAATTTGACACCCCATGCAGCCTCAAAATGTTTCAAATGTCTACCACCTCTAGATAGAGCCAAGTTGACTTCAGGTGGTCTTCTACCAGCAGCTCGGAATAGTTGCACTGAATTTATACTTCGCAGCACTGTCTGATTCATCAACACAATTGAGCCATTTTTTAAAAAAGTAATAGATACTCATAGATTATCTTTTCTGATGCACTGGACTGAATTTTTACCTCAGTGTGCAAAGGCTGATCAGCCTGAACTTTCTAAAGGACTTTACAGGAAAGGTTTCTATAGAATATTTTGCTAGCTGTGGTGTTCACGGCATCCCTCTAGTCTTATAAGAGAAGATTATTCCTTTTTTTTGGTATTCATCCAGTGGGGTGTATGCATAAGTGGGAGAGAGAAATCAAACAATCTACTTCAGTTCAGTGTAACTTTTTAATTGTATGGGTCCATAGACTTTTTAATGGAGATTTCTGACTTCACCACTGTAAATGCCTTTAATGAGCATTAATTTTTGAAAGTTTTACAGAGTTTTATTAGTTTTACTACTTTATCTTATTGATCTCTGCAGACTTGTGCTGGTGCAAGTACAGGCTGCCAGGCAATTGCACTATATTTGGCTGTAGATTCAGACAGGCAGTTCTCTTATTTAGTTGACCTTTGTAAATGTGTAACATAAACAGGTATAATGCATGTCACACTGACAGATAACACTGCCATGGTAAAAGTACTCATGTCTCCCCGTCTCTGAAAAAAAAAATTAGCTTTTAGTATTTTCCAAGTTTTCAGAAGTGCCCATTTTATGCTGCTGTGTGGTTTGTTAGATCTAAATGATTTTTAAACTTTTCTCATACAAAGTTAACTTTGGCAATAAACATTTTTTAAGGGCCCTCCACTTCTTCCCCCTGACAATGTCATTTTCTAGATGAAATTTTGGTATGATTTTTTTCAACTCTTTCTTATATATCACAATCTGGCAATTTCTGAAACCAGTCAGAAAAGACATATATCTCCATGCCTTTTTAAAGACTTATTTTTACCTGTTTTATAGCCACAGTTGGTCTCCTGTCATTTTGTTTTAAAATAGGCTAGAACCAGGATGCTTCCTTACTGGATAGGCCTTGCCAGTCCTTAAGGAACATTGAGTGATGCTGCAACTTGCAAAAATGTACCAGCATTTAAAGCCCTCCCCCCGCCCCCGCCCTAGAATCAAAGTTACTCACACAATTACTTGCAGTGCAAATTTTTTGCCTCTCTTTCAACCTGAAATGTACTTGGTGGGGTTTCCTTCCCTTTATTAAACTAAAACTGTATAGAAAAGCTTGATTTTTCTTAATGGACTCTGGATTCCACTCACAGGGAGATAGGATTCCTTTCTTGTCCAGACAGAGAGTTGATCTAAAGCAAGCATCAGTTAAAATATAGGGAAAAATGAATTCTGTATTTGTTGTTGTGTGCTGTTGAGTCAATTCTGACTCATAGTGACCCTATAGGACAGAATAAAACTGCCCCATAGGGTTTCCAAGGCTAAAATCCTTAGGAAAGCAGATTGCCACGTCTTTCCTCCCACAGAGCCCCTGGTAGGTTTGAACCTCCAACCTTTCAGTCAGCAGCCGAGGGCTTAACCATTGTGCAACCAGGGCTCCTATTCTGTATTTACTGTAGATAATACTTTGTGAATGGACAACAGTTACATAGAGTCTTGGTAGTTCCAACCAGTGTTTCCCAGCCCAAATTGGACTGATTTGTAATTCTGTAGCCTTGAACCTCAGGAGTGAGAGATGGAGAAGGGATAAAAGGCCGAGAGCCACACTCCGTTTGGCAGAGGAAGGTGCTGGGAAGAGATAGACACAAGGTTGTAAAAACAATTTTACCTCCTCTGTGTGGAGACTGCTGATGGGGAAACACTGGATCTAATGGTGAAGGGTGTTTGCTTGAACTCATTAGCCAGTCCAAATCTCTTAAACGAGCCTTCTCAGAATCCCAGCAATATAAAGCACTGTTTTTCTTCAGTCTTTTAACAAGCTTGTAAATACATTGAAGTTTACATTTCCACGTGCTGTTGATCAGAAGCACCACCAGTGTTTGCTGAGACTGGTCTTCTGAGCGTTCTGTAATGTTTGCTGAGTCCTATAGCTCATTAAGATGAGTGCAAATGTTCTTATCTTCTGCAGATAGTGGGATGAAAGCAGGTTCTGTTACTGAGGCACAACATAGGCAGGAGCGAAGAGATGGCAGATGTTCATTTCTTAAGATTTTCTTATTTTTTTGCAAATACCTCACTTGGATAATACAAATCAGGACATGTTGGTGAGGGGCTGACTGCTGCTTTTATTCACACTTGTTCAGGGAGAGCACAGAAAAATACCCTTCAGCGTGACCACTCTGGACCCAAGAGGAGAAAAAACGGAAGAGTTTTTAGGAGAAAGAGGACTCACTGGAGTCCAGGATGTGAACTCTTGGTAGCTAGCTGACTGGCCAGTGGACACCACACTTGCACTTGAGTGTCTCGGGCTTGCTTGTTAATAACACACAGAAGAAACTTGCTTCTCACCATCTCCTGGCACGTACGGAGCAGGGAGCAAAGGTGGAGGCTGGGAAGCCCTGGTCTGCTGGCCTGCAGTTGGGCTGTACGTTCAACCTCGAACAATACAGTTTATAAGACCTCAGTCACTCCTAATACACTGGGCAAATCAGTGTGGTGGTGGAGAAAAGCCGGGAGGCCTATTTTTATAGGAAAACAGTACCATTAAGGGTGCAATGCTGTCATTTTTGGACAAAAGGTAAGAAATAGGGAGGAACTAGAATTATTGGGAAAAAAACTTGCTGAGGGGTGAATCTTTAAGAGGTAGGTAATCGTTACAAAATCAGAGTTGCAGCAATACTATTGCAAGCAAGTCTGAACGCATAGTTTTAATTTAATTCGACTTGACAATTCGAATATGTAACCCCTTGAAAATAACTGAATCATTATGCATGTGTCAATCAATGGGAGGTGTGCATTCTCTAGAAGTAGTTTTAGGGTGTTTGGTTTTTTACAATGCAGCCTATTTAGGCATTGTCATGTGGTGTGAAAGATTTAAATGTAGCAACGTTAAAGAGTAATAATTTGGGGAGAAGGAGCAGGTAAGAGAGCCATGAAGACCCAAATATTGAATCACTTATGTTTTGTTGTTGTTAGCTGTTGCATTTTGAACGGTTTATAAAAGTGAACTAGCTGGTTTAAAGCAGCCAGCAGTCTGGGCAGGCAGAATGTATTCATTCTTACTGTAAGTTCTATTTGCTGCTTCCAAAGGTGTTGATTTACAAGTAGATAAGTTCTATATAATTATAGGATCTGGTGCCCAGCCTATACCAGAGCGTACTTCCCTGGCTCAGCTACCTACCTTTCCAATGGGAAAAGGTAATCCTTGTGCAGATACACTGTTTAACAAGGCTCACCCTTTCTGCCCCGCCCTATTGACCCTTTGTGGATGTGCTGTTAAGATTTTCTTGCTCAATAGCAAGGTGGTAGCTCTGCTTTCATTTTAAGAAAGCGGAGATGAGGGCATTGTATCAATACTGTTTCAACTCCAAGGATTTTTCCTTGTAAAATTAAAGGAAAGGTCTTGTTATTGATTAATAATTTTCTTATCCCTTGCTATTGACATATTCATGCTCTTTCTATGTCTAGTGGCTGAAAATGTTTGCATTTGTTCATTTGATTGATAGTGTAATTTTTGTTTTATATTGTTAGACTTGTAATGTTTTAAAATGTATTTTATTAAATTTGGACTGGATGTATGTCTCTAGCAATATGAGGTACTTTCTAAACTATTAAGGGAGGGGCTGTATCCCCGTGTTGAGATAAAATGATGACTGTTTAAATTTTGAAAAAAAAATTTTTTTTGGCCTGCAGGGATATTTTGTGTTCATGTGTCCAAAAAAAGAATAAACTGGCATTCTTGTGCCAAAAGTTGTTTTTTTCTTGTCAGTTGTCTAATAAATATGGAGTACACTGTAATGGCAACACACATGGTTGCTTTTAAAAAACCATTTCCTCACTTGGGTGACTTATTCAGAAAGAAGAACAGTGGGAAAATGTTGTGTTCTTAAATCCTGGGTCTCCCTATTTTTAGAAATTGCTACTTGGGGATTTTAGAAGAGCTTCTCAGCAACACATCCCGTATGAAAATTTTTACAAGATTCATTAGGATCCTGAGTGCAACTCTTAATGGGAAGATCTATTTAAGTGATGTCTTGAGAAAAATCTGCAGTCTTCAGAGGGCAGTGTGGCCACATACTTTATAAATTATAAGACTGACTCTCTCTAAAGGAGAAGGCCTCCAGTTGTCCAAATCACCCAACCTGGGGCTATCCAATCTTATATGTCTTTCTTTAAATTCTCACTGTAAAGCCCTTTTGCTAACTTGTGGCTGGGACAATGCAGACGTTTGTACAATATGGGCTTATCCTCAGGGAATTTATAGATTACCAAGATGCGAGTCCTGCACGTAGCTAACTCTCCTCCAAGGTAGTTGTTTTTGCTGGCAGCACAGTATCCCCTTCTCCAGACTTGTCATTTATCAAGTGTTTATCATGAATCAGCTACATCTCTGTGTAGGTGCTAGGGACACAGAAGAGTAAAAATCTAATTCTTCAAAGGGTTCATTTCTAATATGGAGCATGGGGTGGGGGGAGGAGGAGGCGAGATTGACATTACCTGAGTGACTGACTACTATATGCGAGCCACTTTATTTATTGACATCTTTAATCCCAGCCACTGTCCTTTGAGATTGATAGTGGCGTCCTCATTTTAAAGATGAGAAGACAGGTTCAAAGAGGTTAAGTAATGCACGGTTATTGAGTGGCAAAGCTAGAATTTGAATCCAGGCCTATCTGACTTCATTACACCCGCTGTTGAGCATAATATTACAGGGTACTGTGGGGAACTAAGGAGCCCTGGTGGTGCAGTAATTAAAGCTCTTGGCTACTAACCAACCAAAAAGTTGGCAGTTTGAATCCACCAGCCGCTCTGTGGGAGAAAGATGTGGCAGTTTGCTTCCAAAAAGATTTACAGCCTCGGAAACGCTATGGGGCAGTTCTATTCTGTCGTATAAGGTCACTGTAAGTTGGAATTAACTCGATGGCATGGCTGGGTGGGGAACTAGGAGCCCTGGTGGTGCAGTGGTTAAGTGCTTGGCAGCTAACCAACCAAAAAGTCAGAAGTTCAAACCCAGCAGCCACTCCATGGGAGAAAGATGTGGCAGTCTGCTTTCGTAAAGATTACAGCCTTGGAAACCCTATGGGCCAGTTCTACTCTGTCCTATAGGTCACTATGAGTCGGAATCGACTCGGTGGCAATGGGTAACAGGTGGGAAACTTAGAAGAGGGAACAACTTTTTCCATGCGAAGTCAGGGAAGACTTTACAGTGAATTTGGGGATAAGGCATGAGGCATGAGCAGGGGATTCCAGGGGAGTAAGGAGGACCCATTGTTCCCGTATGGTAGATTATGGTAGTTTCAATTTTTTGTCTACCCAAGTGCTTTCCCTTGCTCCTTTTTGTAATGGAATCCCTCTTTCTTATGAGAAATCCATTATTCTGTGTGATTCAGGGGAGGCCAATGGACTACCTCCCACCTCATCATCCGCCACTTGTGTCATGTTTATGTCCATCCCTGAATCAGTTACTGGGAATATGTTACACCAGCCAGAAATGACTCATGTACCCACTCCTGGGAGGGGGGGTTGGCTAGCTAGTAGGGGGAGGCGCAGATTGATCAGTATCATTACAAGGAATGGTCTCTTTTCCTTCATCTCTAGGCTCTTGTTCCCTCTATTTTCTTTATTCTCCAGAAGCTAGTGGCAGGTTTTTAAGGAGAAGAAGGAGGAAATCAAATGGGGGGGAGGGGCGGGGGAAGTGTAGGAAAGTAGCAACTATATTGCAAACTGGAGAAGGAAATGAATGAACTTCCTTCAACAAACATTTCTGGAGCTTCTATTATGTGCTGGGAAATATACAGATGAAAAACACAAGTTCTGGTCATCAAGGAGTTTACTGTCCAGTCTGGGGGCCATACATGTGAAAAGGTGGCTTTGAGGGTTAAGTGCTGTAAGAAATATATGCACTGAGTGAGAAATGTATACATGAAGCGATGGGATCACTGAGGTTCCTAACCCAGGCTGGGGGATCAAAGAAGTTTTCTTAGAGGAAAAGATGACTGAGCTATCTCATAAAGAATAAGGAAGAGTTTTATAAATGGACAAGGTGGAAGAAGGCCTTCCAGGAATGCTAGTCCTGGGCAATGGCACAGAGAAAAATTTCATGACTGTTTTTGGAT